GTCATTGATGGGAGGAGTGTCATGCATATTCAATTTCCTGAAGGTATCGTTATATGGGTGGCGCTGGAAGTTTCTGTAGGAAGTAACTAGCCGTTGAAGCCGTGGGAGAAATGGAAAACCCTATTTAGCTGTGCATGGTGGCGTGGCCATTGCGTGCGCAAGTGTTTGGTTCAGCGTAGGATAATACCACAAGCGCAATGTTCACTGCTGACCTGAGTTGAGTTGACTTGACTTTGAAGCTAAAAGAAGGGAAAAGAAGAGAAATGCGCGGGGAAGACGGGAGCAGCCAACCCGACATGTTGACTTGGTTAAATGTTCATAGTCAGTATTAGTTTTCTACGGAGCAAGAAGTTAGTAACTTAACTAGTTAACTAACTAGTTAACTAGCGAACCCAAGTCAGTGCCTTATGTAATGTCTTTGTCTCCTCGCCCGCTCGCTCACTCTCTTTGCAAACCTCGTCAACTGCTACATCCCCCTCCTCTATACCTCTTTTCCCAGAGCATGTAGCTGTTCATTCAGCTTGTCATCTGTGGCTGTTTCTGGAGGTTTTGCTCTTTGTTCAACTCGTTCAAACTTCTTCCAATTGTCAGTCCACACACACTCCAACCACGAAGCCCACCACTGTCGCCGCCTTTTTGCCCTCGACAAATTCCGCTCCGAAAACAGCTGCTCACTCCTCGACAATCAATCATTCTACTTCATTTCTAAATCAAAAATCCTCATCGGGGATCCTTCTGGCATCTCTATGACTTGCTAGAAAACCGGGTTTGGAAGTTGTAGCAGGAGAATAGCCCAGCCCCCGCTCCCCCCATTTCAGTCATGACTCCTCGTCGCTCGTTCCGCGCTCGAACAACACAACCATCCGCCGCAATGCAGCACACAAATTCATCCAGCTCCTCAAATTCCTTCAGCCGTGCTGAAAGAAGCACGCGCTCAAATAACAAAATCCCCTCCCCACACATTTCTGCCAACCGCTCGCAGTCCATAGATGACGTCGAGCAAAATTCTCGACCTGACCTCCCGCTAACGCGCCATCGCCAACGAGGCCGCAATAACAGTGAACAAGGCAATGCGCTTCATGCTCCTGGCGCGGAGGAATACGACGATGAAGAAGGTGATGACGAAGAAATTACCAGATGTCTGTGTGGTCAGCAGGATTACCCCGGCCTTCCTCTCATCTACCAGGATAGAGGAAGTTCCAGTGCCACGAAACTGGGCATGAAGGATGACTTGGCCCCGGGTGCCTCGGCCTCTGCTGCTGAGGATATGCAGTCTGAGGAACCGGGGAGCTTGTTCATCCAATGCGACTCGTGTAAAGTCTGGCAGCATGGAGGTTGCGTTGGGATTATGGAGGAGGCCTCCAGTCCTGATGAATACTTCTGTGAACTGTGTCGGAAGGATTTGCACAAGATCATTGTAGCATCTAATGGGTGAGTGATAACTTTGTCATTCCCCATCACCTGAGTACTATTTACATTATGAATGCCATCTTGGTCACTGCCTGGCGATTGATGGGTTTGTGAATGTTCATCTGCTGGAATGGCCAAGGGCGTCCCTCCAGATTCTGAAGATGATGTTTCTCTCCTCAACTCCACATACACGTATCGCATAAGCCCTCTATATTTTTATCTTCCTTCACCATAGCATAGCCTTGCCTTTGTCCCCGTGTCATTCTCTACAGTTAAGATGTGGGCGTCACGCTTACGGTCGCGCAGTCAGAAATCTTCTCGCTACCTTCCCGTGGTCGGATCGTCATCCGGATCCTCCTCTCGTTCCTCCTCCATTGATAGCTCCAGAAACCTGAAAGATAAAAAGGGTCGCGGCAGCTCAGGGCCCCTCAGCACAAAGCGACGCTCAACCATGAATAGCCGCGATGCGGCCTACGACGAAGAACAGTTGCGACGCGCGATTGAGGAGAGCAAAGAAGACTCCAAATCAGTGGCTGATGACCTTGGAAGCCGTAGAGGCAAACGGAGCCGTAGTGATAGCGAAGCGTATGTTGGCTCTCCCTGCGCGTTGGGACTTGCTGGCCTGTCTGGCGGCTAGAGCAGCTACTAACTCCCTGCGCTCACAAACAGGAATAAACAAACTGCTAAACGACAGCGTACTGGCTCGCTCTCCTCTTCTCTTTCGAAACACAGCAACTCCCTATCACATCCACTGTCCGATGAGGAAAGCAAACCCAATAATGTCCCCGAGGGAAATGGCTCCAAGAAGACCAGAGGCGTGGTTCGAAACCAGCGCGAGAGAGAAGCTCAAGCCGCAGAGAAGGAGTTGGAGAAAGAGACGAATGAACCTATCAATAGACGGAAAAGCCGATCAGAACGCCGGAAAGACCGTGAGTGCCAATGCCTCTAGTCATACAGTAGCAATCGGTTTAAACAGAAGGAGCAGACCAGGCTAACAAATCCAAATAGCAGATGAGGAGCCCGCCGAGACAGCTTCACCTACAAAAACCAACGTAAATCCTCCCACCATCACCCAATCCGCTCCCGACACTCCCAGCACAACAAACGAACCCTCAAACGCTAAGCCTGCCACGCGCAAAACCGGTCGACCAGCCGCCCGTCGTGGCCGTCTAGGTCGAAACCAATACACCCGAGACCGCGACTCAGTAAACGGCAACGACATGAGTAACAACATCAACCCCCCCCGTCGCGGACAATCTCGAGACACGGGCAACGGCGATTCACCTACAAGAGGCCATCTAGGCGCAAACGGCATCTATCTTAACGGCGGGGAGTCTGGGAAACCGAGCAAACCGCGCTACATGAATCCGCAACGCACGACTATGAATGATATGAAGAGGCGAGTTGCTGCTATTCTTGAGTTTATTTCTCAGTTGCAGGTTGAAATGGCTTCGAACGCGATGCAGACTCCCCTGAGTGGAGCAGGATCGGCAACGAAGGAGACGGGGGACCAGGGAGTCAATGGCGAGCAGACCACTGGCAGTGGCGAAAATACAGAGGCAAATGGAACAAGCCCGCCGGCCAAGGAGAAGGATTTTAAGGATCTGACAAGTGTTGAGATGATGGATGTCTTGACGCGGGGTCTGCTGAAATGGCAACAGGAGTTTGGGAAGTATGGGGAGAAGTGAGGCATGTAGGGATTGATTGCAGTTCGGGTTGGGAACTTGCCGTTCTTCTACCGCGCTCACTTGCCCTTCGTCAAATATATATATCCCCACGACATCTTTCTCTGGCTCTGTTACTTAACGGATTTTGAATCCACCCTGCGGGATTATTATATGAACCCTAACGAATGGAAGAAATCGAATTCATCCGATTTTCCTCATATGTTGCGATACCAGCGCCCCTCTGTACGATATAGCCATGTGCCTCGCGGGTCCCAATTTATTAATATTCACATGAATAAGTGGCTACCTGTGCCCTGTTAGCTCCCCCATCTTTCATTAACTTCCTTTCCCGATGAGAGAAATAATACCTTGCCGTTCCTGTCCCCCAGCTTTGATTACGATACCCCGACGACACGATTCACAGGTTCCTGCTCTGCTACATTTGAACTATTGTAAACGGCGCCTGGACCTACTTCGGAATGACTCTTCAAGGGCCTGCAGGAACATTTGTGTTTTATATCTCGCCTTCTTCAATTTTGTTCTGGATCTCGTTCCAGTTCCTACGCACCAGGCTGCCCTCCTATCCCCTGCCTTCTATTTCTTTCCATTCACCATACTCCATCACAGTTCTCCAATACACCATATAATTTATGCATTATCGACTTATAATATCATATTTATTAGGAATCAGTGGTGCCGGTGCCTCTGAACAGCGAGGATACGAACTGCATATCCCATTATACCTTTGAGATCTTTCATGCACGTTTTTTTATAAAGTTTTATTTTACCCTTCGTTTTTGTTATTCGTCCTGTTCATGGCTGTTTACCTTGTTTCGTGAATTTTCACGTAATGAAATTGCTGGGGCGCGGGTAGGGATTGGAGGCGGGTGACTATGGATGGTGCTTTGATTTTCAATTCTTGGGATGTTTGGTTTACCCTCCTCTTCTTATTCTCCTCCTCCCTTCGTTTTGTAACTTGTTTTATATGTTTATATGTTTATGCCTTTCAATTGCACTGGGACAGGAAATGGGACTGTGGGTAATGGTGTCATGGTTCTTTTCCTTCTCCAGTCCATTGTCAACTTTTTTTTTGTTTTCTTCTTGTTATTTTTGATGTTGATAATGTTTATTTTTCTCCTTACTAGCTGACTGATATGTAATGTTTTGCGATACCTCCCCCCTTCCTTTTGTTCGACATTCCCCTTCTTTTCGCCACCCCTTCACTATTCATTACTATCAAATCTCTCCCAACCCAACTCTCCTCTGCCCCCCTCCCCAGTCGCCTTTGTTCTTAATGCGTACTTCGTATGTGATGATACTCTCATGTGTGAAGGGCATGTGTTCTATACTACTTCCACGTCTTTGCCATTTCTGTTTCTCCGTGGAAACCGATTTGAGAAATCCTGTGTTTTAGTAGCAGTTCAATATACCATATGAAGAATATGTGTGTCCTTTGTATATATTTCATCAAACCTACCTATCTCAAGCAGTTACGGATAGCCTAGTGTGGATATTCAGTATAATAACGACTCTCATGCTTTCTTAAAAACCTGCATATAGGCGAACAAATTTTAGGCGCCACACACAGGACATGATTGTAAAATAGAGATCGATTGGCTAAGTGAAGATCCCAAATAAACAAAAGGAAGGAAACAAATTAAGAGATGATGTTAATGAGGGAAAAGCATTAAAATGTTTTGAAGAGAAGTAAAATGGAAAGTGCTGTGTAAAGCTGCAAAATCTTGAATGCTCACGGGAAGAGATGCTGGCGAGGTCTGGAAAAGCAGTGAGTGAAATGAGAGCGAAGATATTAGTGAGAAGGGGAATGGCTGAGGTATCCAACACAGAGTGAGAAATCCCACAGACGGAGAGCAGAGTGAAAAGGGAGTGAAATTGCAAGCCTTAGAAAGAACTCGTGGGGCCTCAGGGGACCTCAAAGGCTGGTTGTTTTTGACCTTTGTCCATCATTGCATCAAATTCGGGATCTCCCACCCTGACGCGGATGCCCACAAGCCAGTTATCCGACTCCTTCAATTTCGCTTGACGACATGAGTTGTTCATATCGGGTCCGATGTCTGTTAAACCAATTTTCTGGACTTGGATCTACACACGAATAGAAAGTAAGACGGGGGAACGACATGGCCAGGACCTCAATCTCTTTTGGCTTTTGGCGTCGTTGTAAATTTCGTCCCAAGGGCTTTTCCACCCTGTGTTGGATGGATATGGTGATGGATATCTGATATCGCCTGCGCATGGTAGTTTGGGACTTCAGCCACTATTGCGGTCACCAGAGCCATGAATGAGATAGCTATAGGTTGGGTCTGCAACGCTGCTGCCGCCATCTCTGCTAAGTCAGACAGGACTTTTGATTTCCTTTCCGATTTTGGCCGTTTACTGGGGGAGTGTTTATCCAGCCGGTCTGGATAAGATGTAGATGTTTTCTATATGGTTTCTATTGCAAGGGGTCGAAATCTATAACTCGATATTAGGTAGATAGGAGAGTAGAGTTGTAGAAGAAATATGATAGATAGATATGGAGAGGGTGCGCTTGACACGATATCTTATATTCCATCCTCTTGCCCTCCAACCCAGAGCGAGAGTTTTCATGTTAAACAGTGCGTATATGAAAGACTTCATAGCACTTATTTATGCTCTATGCAGTTAACCACAAGATGGAAGCTATCATTATCTGACATTGAGACATAAGGGAAACCAGCATGGGGTCGTGGTGCTTCCCTGATTTCGGGGGAAATGTACCAAGCTTTTAGCAGTTTGGCAAAGTATCAATGGTGCAGTTTGTCTTAGCTTTCTGACAGAAAATATTCAATCAGTGATAACCTACATTTATCTCGCAAAGTTTCTTTTGTTCAGCGTCACTCGTTGTGAATGTAAGGAAGCTATCTCCTCCACTCTGCTGTCGAGATAAGGTCTTGGTTCAACCATGCTACCAATTTGATATTAAAGTATTCTCTCATCCCTGAGTTGCCCGCGGTTAAGCTTTGAGGTCAAGGATCTCATTCGAATAGTGGGGGATGTTCCATATCTTTCCAGTTCCCTTTGTTTTGTTCTCGTTGCATACGAAATTCAACTGTTGGTATGACGTTGGAAGGAGTCGCAGTTGGGTAACGTAAATAATCGACAGACCAGCTTCTGAAAGTAGCCCAATAAGATATTGGGACCGAGGGTCAACTGCTTCTGATTCCCGATACTCTCCATCGGCTCACATTCCACATTCATAATGTGTGCCAATTTTGACGAACAGAGAGAGCAGAGAAAGCAAAGAAATCTTTCTCCTCTACTTTCGGTAAATAGCCCTTCTGGTGCGACTTTGTCCCAAATAAAGTTAGTAAAGCCATCACTTAAGAGAGAAGTGAAGTGAAAATTCTGTATGAAAATACAGTTGGGCATTTAGAGATCAACCTGAGTGACTAGCAACAAAGTCAGCATGAAAGCCCAACCGAAAATAAGAATGTAAAGCCTCAAATGAATGAAAGCTCAACTCAGACATGGAAGCGGAATTTATACCAATGTACAGCACCACTACTCAAACATGCAGGGCACTGCAACCAACTACAAGCATCTTACATAAACGTAGATGGAGAAGAAAGCAATATAGAGCAGGCAACATAAAATTGATTCTTCAACAATGTACTCAAGGGGATGTTTAGGCAGATACACAAGGGGGAAAAAGTTGCGAAAAGCTGGTCACATGATCATCCACAAACATAAACCTAAAGGAGGGGGAAAAAGAGATTATTCGTTCATCAATTCCAAAATCCATTAATAGCAAACAAAAATATGCCCTCGACTTCACGATTTACCTTTCCTCAAATTTTTTGTTTTCATAGTTGGTCATTGAAAATTAAAATAAAAGGGTTCAGAAATCGCTCTAAATGTGCTGCGGGTTCATCGAAACATGAAAATCTAGCCTGACGATTCGGTAGTTAGCAGCTGGAGCTTGCGGACACAAAGCTAGACACTCTGAGGGTGCAAGGGAGATAAGTAACTAACCAACTGTTCATCTACAGACGGGATCCGTGGATAACCTTGTAGTCAACAACCAGCTCACGGCCACCATCATTGATGACGAGTGCGCGGATGCTTCCACGGCCATCACTGAAGGCATCGCTGATACGGCTGAACAGATTGCCCTGGTCAACGACGGGAAGACCTTGCTTGACATCACCAGTTTCGGTCATGGCAACAATACGGCCATCCTCGCGGATGTCCAGAATGCGGTAGGTCTTGTAGACAGGGCCCAGCATGCTCTGGACAACGACGGAGGAAGAGGGGTGAGAGATGAAGCTAGACTCCTCATGAAGCTGGCGGGTGAAAAGGTCGACACCAAGGTAACGGTGCTGGCCAGTCTGTGGAGAGACGGAGATGCGAATGACCTGACATGGGCGGCCCTGGAGGATTAACAGATCACCAACGCGGATAAAGTGGCATGGGATGGTGATGGTGTCCGGTGGATGACCACCACGAGGCTGCACGACTCTCACAGACTCGCGGACGCCATCGCGGACACGGGTGGGCCCACGCTCGTCGCTAATGACAACCTCTTCCTTTCTGTCGTGGTGATGATGGTGGAGAGGATGGAGGATGCGGTCAGCAGCGCGCTCAACGCCGCGGCGGAACGAATGGTAGTGGCCTTCGTCGTCGTAGTAACCCATGTTGCCAGGTGATTGTTCGATAACGATGCGTCGATTCACGTTGACGTCTCCGTAAGCTCTTTCGCTGCCTCGGCCTGCGTAATCGACTTCACTGACGTGGCTGGGGGCTCCGGTAGTGTCGATCTGCTGGAACTGGTTGTTGTACGAAACGTCGATGTCACGGACCTGGCTTGGCCGGTTGATGTATTCAACTTGATAATTGGGATCGGTGCGTTGACGGTATTCACGTTCAGTGATATCAAGCTGAGTTTCCCAGGCTTTTCGGTCTTGATTACCGTTGTATCTGATCGAATTGATTAGCGAAGAAGATTTTTGCGGCAGGGGTTTTGACTTCTTACCGTTCTCTTGTTAGTTCTACCTCAGGATAACGGGATCGGGGGAACTCGTCGTGTTGACGGCGATCAGAGTGAATATGAACGTCAACCTCTTGATGGCTATGAGACGGGAATGGGCCTTCGTATCCAGTATCTTCCCGTCCGACGCGCGAAGCACCTGTTAACTTGACCTCTCCCTCTACTCTAGTGTGAGTAGTCTCAGAGACAGTGTCACTCCGGTACGACGACGGGAAGACACTGAAGGGAATGGGGACGCGAGCGTCAAAGTCCAGATTGACTGTCCTAATGTGTCCTTTCTCGAATGTCTTTCGAAGTGTTTAAGAACAATTCGAAAGACGAGACAAGAAATGACAGCTGTCTCTTAGGAGTGGTAAAATAGAGGGAAAAGAAAAGTTGTTGCGTTGATGGAATATGAGTGTCTGAGGATGAAGAGGAGGAAGAAGAGGGACGAGCTGGGAAGGGGGGGGAAGCGAAGTTATTTGTTTGCTGAAGTTCTTGAGGACGAGGCTGGTTGTTGTGCAGCTGTGATTGGCTTCATCGCCGCCCTGTCGGAGTTGTGCTCAAACGCTGCTTGTCGTTTGTTTATGTTTATCCAACTGTGGTTAGGCCTGGCAAACAGCGCTAATCCGGAAATTGGCTTAGCGTGTGGCAGTTTGTCGTTTGCGATCAATCTTTCCAAGGTTCACCGCCTCGGCCCGGTCCCATAAAGGGCCAACCCAATCCATTATTCCCCAGAGAAAATGACTCCACCAAAAGTTCTTTTTATTATCTCTGGCTCAAACCATCGAAAATCCATCCAAAATCCATTGTGGATGGGCAATTTTCAATTCTCGGCCCAGTGTGGATGGAAATTCGTGCCCATTCTCTCCGACTATTGATCCAGGTGTACTCCGTAGCGCGTATACCGGATAATTGGCCCTGGTCTTGGCCCTGGCCCAGCCACTGGAATTATTTTGTCAGGCATCTTGGTTTGACCCCGTTATTAGGCTGGTCGCTTGTTGTGCCCACTCAAAACTGTCAGCATGAAAAAATCCTGTGGCCGGTCAACTGGCTGGCTGATCCCCACACGAAGCCAAGTCTACAGTTTTATCACACCCCTTCCTTCGGAGCCACTGAAAGCAAGGTCCTCCCTTTTTCTCTCCTCCGTTCTCCTTTCCTTCAATCGATGATATGTCTCTTTTAACTACCCATCTTTCAATCTCCTCTGAGCTCCACGAATTTCCAAAGACTCCTCGTTTCTTAACCTCGGGTTATTCGGTACCAGCCGCTGCAAAAGATTGGTCCAATTCTCCACTCAGTTGCTACGTCAACCGCCCTAGTAGTTCTTGCACTGGCCAGACTCCTTGTTCCAAGTTTCAGTCAAACATGCCAATAAAAAAATAAAAAAATAAAAAAATAAAAAAAGCGGAGACATCTATTTGACACTAGGTGGGTCCTTGGCGTGTTCCATCCTCCAGGAGGAACTTGTTATGAGGGCTCGTCATTGGCTCAGAACCATCTTGGTCTAGCGGCTTGCTGTATTATCAGCTCGATTTGGTGAAGTTGAATGTGCCACTGGTGCTGCTGACATCACCTTTTGATAACGAAAACTAGCATGTCAAACACAGACTTTTCTTCTTTTAAAACTTGAAAGAGATTGTGGATATCCAAGTAAAGCATTGCCGTAGGAGCCGGGAACACCCATAACTACGGATTCTGTGATTGGATCAGCAACCTCTGAATTGCGTCAACGGAATCATTCAGAACCAGCTACCAGCAAAACAATGAACACAATTAATTTTTAATGCCGAAACACGATGCTAAAAAAATTATTAGGATTAACGCTCATCAAGAGCTATGGAACGGAGAGCCAAAGAGATAACAAGACGGTGTCCATCGACAGCGCGAGATGTGTAAACGTATAGAGAGATTAGAACGAGAATGAAATCAATCTATCAACGAACAGATGAAAAGCAAATGAACTACCATACTTTGCAACTTCGTATTTCAAAGCGCAAATTCGTCATATATTGTCCGTCCGTCCCGTCCGTCCCGTCCGTCCAAGCAACAGAAACAACCAAGCCAAACTAATATTCCGAGCTAATACAAATCCAGTAAAATAACAAAGGGGGAGGGGGGGTAATGGAAGATATCGCTGCTTTTTAAAGAACAAGAATATATTGGTATCCTTCACAAGAAAACAAAATGGTATCAGACAACTTAATCCAATGAAGAAAAGAGAAACGAAGAGGATAGAAATAGATAAGGAAATGAAAATTATATAGGAAGATTAGAAGGGTGGCAAATAGAGTGTAATCATATATCGTAAGGAAATATCATGCCTTGTAAGCAGAGCAGCAGCGCGAAATCCAGGGTACAGCCAGAATGAATATGTTTTCCTTTCTCTCTCTCTCTCTCTCTTTTTTTTTTTTTTTTTTTTTTTTTTTTTTTTTTTTTCATTTGCTCATTCCCAGCGCCTTTCTGAGCAGTAAAAGCTTTTTCTTCTTCTTCTCACCCGAGCCAAGAACTGACGAACTTACATCTGATTGTATCGAAGAACCGGGGTGTTCCCCGCCGACAGTGCTGTCCGTTCCCCAACGTGTGTGTTTCCGTGGACGGAAACGTGATGCCCAGTTAGAAGACTCAGTTGATCCAGGTGTTGATCCAGTGACTGCTCCAGCAATTGAAGCGTTGAAATTGATGCTCCCGTTCCTTTTCGCCATGCCATCGGAGGTATATGGCTGTTCTTGGTCTGGCTCGCTGTTTTCATGAATAGGTGGAGGAGCGGAAGCACCTTCTGGTACGGTGTTGCTACCGTGATGAGATCGTAATGGCCATGAACTGGATTCCAGGATATCAGAGGATTTTTGGATGTCGGTTTGCTTTTCGGTTGTAGCTTCAGCATATCTTTCAGATGTGCCTGTTGCAAAAGCGGATTGGGGAGGTTTGTCACCGCAGTGGTTCGTGGTCGTTAAGCTTCTATTCCGTCGGAGTTCCATGAGTGAACGTTCCAGTGGAGTATCACGCCTTGCCGCACTATCGAGTTCGGACTTTCGGATTTTATTATCACCGCCGCTTTTATGAACTGAGATACTAAGTCTACTAAAAATACCCCGTTGCCTTTTCGGAAGCTGGGAGACAAAAACCCCAGGCCCTTTGGGCACATCATTGGTTGACCGGTTGGTAGCGTCTGCGGTTGTAGCGCTGTCCATATTAGCCTCAAATGCAGGTACCGGTTTAGTTATCGTGGTGCTTGGAATTATTAACGGATGTTGGAAGCAAGGTCGTCTTAAGACCTTTTGAGGAATCTCAGGAATCTCATTGTCCGAGCTATCGTCGAGATCTGTAGAATCTCCGTCAACCTTGCCCCTTAGTTTAGGGATACCGCGAACTGGACTGAATTTCATAGGGACTACCTCATCGTCGCTCGAGTCGTCATAACGGCTACGGAATGAACATCTCAAGCCGACCTCATCATCGCTCGGATGACCAAAGCGAGATTTCAGCTTCTTCCCTGCTTGGGGGCTCAATCCAGTTGCGATACCCTTGACTTTCGAGTGTTTTCCAAAGGCAGAAATCGACGATGCTTTCGTATGGAATCCGCTGCTTGGGTCACGTAACGTTTTTCGCATTGGGGCGTTGCGATCCGAAGAAAACGAATTAGGAGGCGTCGTTGATCGTCGTCCAACAGCAACATGATACCCGCCCGACGATTGTGGCTTGTTGTCAGAGGTGTTTCTCATCGTGCGTCTCAAAAAATAATGCGTGGTGCTCTGTGGTGGACTCTTGGCGCCCTTGAAGCTGCTGGAGGAATCGCTATCATATGCACGGGCTTGAGTATGATGTTTTGAGGTGAATCCAAAATCCCAGTTTTCCTCTACATCAGATGGATGAACATTACCATTTACATAGAGTTTGTTTGCTGAAGGACCTTTAGGTGTTTGTGAAGAGGTCTCCTGTTTGCGGTAGGTTGTCGGACCACCTGGATTTTCTTTAGGGGATCGTAATTTTGGCTCTTTTTGCTTGCTGGTAACATTGTCACTCTCCTTTGAAGTATGGGTGTGTTGCCCATTGCATGTGATGTGTTCCAATTGTGATTGTGCCGGTTTCGAGTTTAATGACGAGGAGGTCGTACCGGTAAAAGCTGCGCAGACGGGTTCCTGACTGGGAGAGAGCATCCGCTGTCTTTCAGGATTGCGCAGGTCATTGCTACCTTCTATTTCCTCCGTATTTCCACTGGAGGCTGACAAATTCGAAGCCTCCTGGGAGCTTATATATACAGTTCCTGGAGAAGAAGAATTGCGGGGATCAGCGTGTTGTAGGGGCAACTCTGGTGGCCTCTTTTTATCCGCCTTCGAACGAGTAGGGCTGTCGGGGGGGGAAGTATGAGAATGGCTGGAAACATGAGAGACGGGACTATCAACGATTGCATCTATGGAGCCGAAAACATCGCCTTCAATCTCTGCCAAATTTTCAGCGGCATCACTATAAACACTCTCGCCGGAATCGTCAGATTCATCATCATCATCCACGGATTGAATTAAAAATGTGTTGGAAGAAGTGCCAAAGTCTGGGGTAACGGGGCTTTGTTGTCGCGTATCGACCATAGGTTGATCAGGTATTTCGTCTTCCCCTGGAGGCGATGGGGGAGGAAACTCTCCTGGTATCCTCCCCCATTCATTGCTACTCTTTTCATCAGTAGGAGCAGCTGGTGTAGCTAGCTGAACTGAAATGACGGGGACGTTTTCGCTCTGGCTAGGGATTCCAACAGTGTCATGCTGAGTCTCCTTGGTATTGCTGGGGTGTGGTTGTGCCTCCAAAGGAGCTAAACCAGTAGGGTTATCACCTTTCGAAGCAAATTCGTCAAGATTCGTCAAATCATCGCTAGATGAGCTATGTTCAGATATGGAATCATAACCTGTCCCTTCAACTGATGTGACCTCGGGGGGTATTGGATCACCAGGAGTGAGAGAGATAGTGTCGTGGGAACGGGTATGTTTGCTCTGACTCTGGTTTAACATTCCACGAAATCCACTGTCACTAGAATCCTGGAGTGTGCTCGGAGGAGGAAAGCCATGGAGCTGTCGCTCATCATGATCCTCGACTTGGAACCTTCTTCTTCCCCTCACACTGTCAAACGAAGGGAGCGGAGGCCGAGGTTTCATCACTTCATCGAACACATCCTCACCATGCCCATAACTCACATAAAGGCGGTTACCGTTCTTTATGAAGCTTGAATATTTTGATCCCGGCTTCCACTGAGGGCTTGCGGAAAAGTGTACCTCTGGAGATATTGGCGGCGTGGCAGCTGTCCCCACTACCTCGGGTTCATCTTCGAAGCTGACTCTAGGGACTCTATTTTTGACCTCCGCCCTTCGACCATCATCGGATTGTGTTGAAGCATCATCTGAAGAATCACTGAGTGCCCTAATTGATGACTTGAATTGATTGTTCGTATGGCCGCCCGGACTTGTTGGAGAACTTGGATGTTTTAACGCTGATTTCGCAGGGGACATAGAACGTGGAGGTGGGTCGTGGAGCTTCTCCCCTGTAATCGGAACAGCAAGGTGGGAGGAGAAACGTGTGATGCGGTTAGGGCTAAGCGAATGGAGTCTTTCGCCGTTAGGAATTGGGACACTGGAGCTCACGATGTCATGCGAGATGGTCTGCAATGGCGTCGTTGAAGGAATATATTGCACAGTGCTAATACCTGGTGATAGCGATGTATTGATCGTGGGCAAAGCTGACAAAGGCCCCTCGTCGCCATTGCTACCAACTATAGAACGATCAAGCGCCTGCTTTTTGGGTAACTTGGCGTTTTTCGTAGATGTATCCAGATCACAACCTCTAGGGTCATCTACCACTATATGGTTTATCTCAGTGCCTTCTTCCACCATTTGAAGTTCTCGATCTTCATTCTGTGCAAGGATTCGCACTTTCAGGAGGGCTAATTTGGGTGAAGGATGACGATCTGGATCGGCTCCATCCAATTGTGAACTTAAATCCGTAGGATGAGGTTGCTCTATCTGATCAAAATCTTGTTCTTTAGGAGAATCGACCGTCTCCCTTTCAGCAATCGCATAGGTAGATCCACTCAAAGGCGACTTCCATTCCGATTCGCCACATAGAGTATCACCCGCTAGCAGATCTCTGTAAGATCGAGTTTCCTTCGCAGCCACAGTTAGAGCAGGAGGTGTAATTTCGGATGCTCGAGGAACGTTGGGGTTTTGAACAGGCCTCTCCTCTGGATATCTTCCAACATCAGGGCTTGGAGATTTCGCGACAAACATTTTTGTCGGCGATTGCAGTGGAGAGTTAGGGCGCGCATGTGTTGGATAGGAAAAGTTAATCGAGCTCCTGCTGCCTTCTCGTTCCAGTTCCGGAAGACTACTTAAAGCTCGAGATGCTAGAGATGCTAGAGATGCTCGAGGGGAGCTACTGTTAGGTGAGATTGGCGACCGTCTGGGACTTGTGCCGCCGCCTTGGCCTGTCCTATCAGGAGGATGGATCGCTCTATAGGGAGAATCCAGGCTGACGGTTCGTCGATGCGGTGTGTGGTGCTCAGGGATTGGTGGCACAGGGGTTATCTCTATCGAGGAAGATCCAGTGACGGAAGCCGCACGAGCGGGGGGTTGCTCACGAAAAGTTCTGGTTGTCATCGAACCGAAACTACTTGCCCGATATATCCGTCCATTTTGAGAATGAGGGAGAGCCGCTTTTCCTTTTTCTTTCCCGCTACCTGTGGACAATTGCCTCTCTAGCATACGTTTCGTCTGGACGTTTTCAACGGAGGTAGGGGTAGGTGTATGTCTGCGGAGGGCTGTTGCCGCAGCGGCTGTAGATATGTTGGCATTGGCTTGGGAAGCTCTAAATGCCTGAACAGCGGCTGTTTGGGCGGAGAGAGACGGATTGGAATTTATGGGCTAAAGACAATGCGACCCTTGCATCAGTAACCATGTAGGTCCGCAGCAAAAAAAGGGAAATAGATAGGAGGGTGGTTGGGAGGCTGCGGCCTGGTGTGGGACAGGCTCCCAAAACTGTTCAATTCGGGACAGACATGTGGAGTAACTCACCGCATGCGCAGAGGCTCTTTTGCGACGGAACATAGTGTGAGGTTTACTTGCCAGGAGAGGTTACCGTCCATGGGAGGAATAGCCGCAGCGCATTCGAGATGCTAAAACGACTGTACAACGAAGCTTGGTTGAGAACAGAGGCACCTCGGGCAATATTTTCAGCTTTGAGTTATTAGAGCTTCATGGAGAAATGACTTATTCGCAGGCTGTTTCGTTGGGTTAGTTAGCTAACTAGTTTCTTTACTATCATCATCGTAGGGACCCGCCGCGCTCCATCTGGTCACCCAACAAAGGAACAAGAAACACTGCACCGGGCAGCTAAGAAATGAGAAGTGATACGATGGCTTGGAAAAGCAAAATTATTGTGAGGGTTTTGGTTGTGGCAGAAGATTGTAAAATAACTAATAGTGAGTTGTCTAAATAAGCTGACCAGAGATGAGCGAAGAAGAGGGATGGGAGGTTGGTGTCGTCACTTTTGGGATGGGCATGAATGACATCAATGCCCCGTAACTTACAGTTATATACAAAGAATTACAAATGTCTTAAAAAAAGATGGATAAAATACTTATGAATGATGAATGTAAAATGAAATTTGTCTGTCTACCCTCTCAAACATCATCATATTCAAAGTTCCTGTAGAAGACTAAAAAGATTAATGGAAACATAATAAAGTTGTGGAACCTCGAGAGTCTTAAACTCCTGCCAGATCACCTGATCGAGATGCGAAATCTCCAGCTCCACATGGGGATAGATACACAAAACTTTTCTTATCTCTTATCCGTCTGAAATTGCTTCTTCTCCCCAATTCATAGGTTTCTGTTTTTCCTACCTTGGAACTGGAACTGCCACCAAGGGGCTTAATTCCATGGGATCCTGAATCCTTCTCGGAAAAGCGCTACCTGGGGACAAAAACCGGTTTTCTATGGCACGAAAAAATTATCTCGCCGGCCAGAACTCCTTGCAGAGTGAGTGAGTGTGTGTCTAGCTAGGTATTTTACCGCACGGTGGGGAACTAACTCCCTTTGTCGAGGCCAGCCTCTTCCAAATCGGGTTTAGCGCAATATCGCTGCTCTTCTCAACTTGAACCCCTTCGCCGCTCCAATACATTTCTATTTCTTCATCCATACTTCGACCTTGTCTCCCTCTTAAAGAGCAGGTGAAGGGATTTCCGTTCAGCTCAGATTGTGCTCTGTTTGGTGATGTTGAAATCAATCAGCATAGACTCAGAAGTTCTCGTCCATACATGCGGAAAGGTTATGAGTGGGGCATCAACACTCATAAATGTACAGTGTCTTCACAAAGAGATGTCAGCAGATTCTATCATGAATCTGATATGCATGGGACTCATTGATCCCAGAAGTGCTGAACATGATTTGTAGCAACAGTTGTGGCGTCAGCATATTTCTCGCCTATGACCTGGAATTGATTCAATCTGACGACATCTCTCGCGCGGTGTTCATCTCGGGTGGGCTCCTCGCCTATCATCTCCCGGTCGCGTCGACTCTCCATGGTTGCGTCCGGAGGACTTCCAGTGGCAAGTTCATTCGGGAAAACTTGTTTATCTGTATAGCAGGAGGAAGCAGAGACGGTAAAGAGATGTAGTGACTAGTACAGAGAGATTGAAATGAAGCAGTGTGAACAAGACGTGCGGAAAAGAGTAGAGACAGTGTCGCTTGAGGGATGTGAAGCCCAGAGGAAGAGAAACGCTCGAAAGGAGCGGAAGGTGTTGTTGTATTTATGCCTTTTGAAGAGCTGAGAACCACCACCAACGAGGTTAAGTATAAGTAATTCGTAGGACATCGCGACGTTCACGGTGGGCTTGCTATGTGCGAGGAAGACATAGGAGAGAATCGGTAAAAGGAGTATACTCCGCACACCCATCTTACAGGCTAAATATATTAGAGATACTCTCAGATAAAGATGAGAGGAATTGGGTCAATTTTACCTGACCTCTTGATGACACTCTAGAAACATGCCATTGTAACGACCAGGGCCAATGAACTGAGAGCAAAGAGTATCGAATTTCCAGATGGATAAGTTACATAATCGGTCTGGTACCGAGCGGAATCGCCCGGAGAATAAACATGGAACCTGACATGACATAAAACGCCATATGTGGGGTTTCTTACGTAGCTACAGCATGATCCCGAGGCTCACCATTCCGTTCGTCTAGGCTACAAGACTATGGGGGCAATACCCGAATTGGAATTCGGAACGGAAGATATTCTGCATCATTTTAAACATATTAGAGTGATAGATTGCGTTAGCTGAATCTAGCTGTCAAACTGGGCCCTCCAAAAAAAAAAAAAAAGAAGTAATGTTAGATCCACCACTCCCCCCACTCCTGCTCCCAAAAGGGGTCTCCTCAACGCAAATTGATACCAGCCCAATAGGCTTATCCTTCCACATCCTTGAAGCCGGCTATACACCCGCCAGGGACCGGCCTTTAATTGTGCTACTGCATGGCTTCCACGAGCTGGCTTTTTCATGGCGGAAAGTCATGCCATTACTAGCGGACGCAAGGCTATCATGTTGTTGCTCCTGATCAACGCGGCTATGGCCGTACAACATGCTGGGATACCCGAGAATTCGCAGGTATTGATTGACCTTGACAGCTTCTCCTGCATAAAACCTGATCCGCGACGTTCTTACCCTTGTTCACTCCTTGGGATATCAAAAGTGTCAAGTGTCTGGTAGGACATGACTTTGGCGCAGTCTCAAGCGGCGCTGTGTGCTCTAGCACGACCGGTTTTCTTCAACAATAAAATAGACCAGACCACCGAAACGGCAGAGGGAAAAGCACCCTCGTCCCCAGACATCCATGCAGAGCTGGCACGCTGGCCGTAAGCATTACAAATGGTACTACTCAACCGAACCAGCAATTTCAGAAATGACCAACCCACCTCATGGTCTCCACGAATTCCTCAGGGGATACTTACATCTCAAAAGCGGCTCATGGTCAAAAAACAAGCCACACCCTCTCACATCATGGAGCGCTTCCAAGCTCGCAAAGATGCCGTATTACTACATCATGCCGCTGGATGCAACCATGCCAGAAGCAATAGCAACAGCCATGGCACATGAGGATGTTTCCGACGTCCAGAATTATCTATCATGCATGGCTGTCGGCTAGCGATTTGGAAGTACTTCGGCATCTTTTCCGGGAAGAAAATAGAGTGCCCAATCGCATTTTTCTTGGCGCCAGGATTGGGGAACTTATCAGGAGCCTTGTGTCGTGGAAAAGATGGCGACGGAACAGGTTGCCAAAGGCATCTTGGAGTTGATACGTAGTTTGGGATAAGAAATGCGCGAATCTTCAAGGTTTCGTTGGTGGTGATGATGCTGGTTGCTAACTATGCAAGTTAGATGTCTTGAACTTCATATTTATCACAATGACATTCATGAAAATGGTTTTATCACGCTCCACATTCCATAGAATGGTACCAGCTACCGTCTCATATAATCGTGTGCCGGACATAGGTAAAGTCTTAGAAGTTGTGACACATTGCTCCATGGAGGAAGTGTACTGCCCATTCACGTTAATGCCAGACAATCTCTCAGCCTATGAGAAAAATTTCAACCATATTTGCTTTATACGGACTGGATAGGAAAATTGTGGACCATGTTTTATCTATAAAGGAGTTGGGAATACCAGAGCTCGATGTCGCCTGTATAGTTGCCATGGGGTGACCATTCGGTGGAATATCCCTTGTGCCTTTGGTCTTTTAAGAACTTCAGAAGCCATTATAGACATAACTAGCGTTACGATTGAGTATTCCAGTCGTATTTTTTCCGAAGTGAGATAGAAGGGAACTTGTCAACTGTTATGTCGAGTGCTAATGAACACTGGCTCCATACTTCAAGACATGTTTCCAAGGACGTAAACATGGCACTTGGAATTTAACAGGTGAAAAGCTGAGCGAGGGGTTAAAGAATTTGAATAGTTTTTGAGTGTTGTATTGTATTTTTGGCTAAATAACCTCCAACTTACCCAAATGACATCCTATTGCAAAAGGAAAGGGGGTTGGGGTGGATACAGTATAAAAAGAAAACAGCCGGCATGACGAACACCTACCGAACACGCTTTGCCGGGTGAGGTATAAAACAACATGGAGAATAAGGTAAAACTATCCGAAATTAGAGTGATAGGAAGGTGGAGTTCCAAGTTAATCACAAGATATGGGTGATAAAGGTGGCACGATCAAATTAAAATAGAAATACCCTTCTAAAACAGGAGGGCAAAAGAGCCGGCCAGCAGCAATGGAACGACAACGAGACTCATTCTTGGTGATGAAACAATGGAAGCGGCATTTGAGATATCCATGGCAAAAATGTATCTGGCTGATAATTCAGATGAGTTAAAGCAATTTTCTCTGGTCACCTCTTCGACATCGCCGGGTTCTGCTAATGTAACATCGACACACTGTAGAACGGATTTCAGTTAGACACAAAGAAGCTGTTTTCATGTCGCCACAGATATCGAAAGAAAATCCCTTAAATCAACATACATTATAAAGGGCAGCACCATGAATGGCAGTTTCGATGATTTGTATTGTCACATTGTCACCAACGTTGTATTCGAAACCTGCGGGGGGCGCAACTTGCCGAAGGCAAAACGTGCCGGGATATTCCTCTTTTGTAGGTCCGATTAATTGAAATGGGGCAATCATCGGATGGCTCATGTTGGGAGCAATAGTTCCGAATCCCATATTCATGTAGATAAAGGCAGTTTTATGGCCAGGAAACCAGCCAGGTTGGAAGGCAATCGCACCCCCTTTAACGGGCCATTTCGTTCGATTCTGTGTAACTGGCATTCCACCACCTAAATAAGTTTTACATAACTAGTTAGAAACGCTGGTATTCAAAAATGGAAACTTTCCCGTAGACCAGATGCTATGAGGGGAAAAACAATACGGACATGGATAGGCCCATTGCATCCCTAGAGGATATAGCAATTCCGATTCATTATTTGGTGATCTTGCAATAGCCATGCCTTGTAAAGAGCTCATGTTTCCAGTGGAGTGGAGGTTGTTTCCTCTCCATCCGGGATAGGTGATGACAGTATGAGCCGTGACCGACGAAGCGAAAAAGGTGATGAGGAGGATTGCCCACCAGGGCTTTAACGACTGACTTCGCCGCATTTTGTGTTCGGATATATATGAAGGGGAAGTAGAAATGATATATAGAATATCCAAGAAGTGTCGCTTTAATCAAGGGGAAACCTTGGCGACTCGATCTTCACTGATCTAGTTTCTTGGTCAAAATTAAATTCTAAATATTCATTCCATTTCACTGCTAATCTGATTCCCAAAAATTACCAATGTCGCATCAATCAGCGTAGATGAGTTGCGAAAACAGTAACGGCTGTGTCAACGACAACGACAGCGACGGTGACAGCAACGGCAACGACGACGAACGGTAGTAGAGTCGAACTGGTACAATCAGACACTACCAACACTCCGGTTTGGTGGGTTGCGCAGGCCTTAAAGAGGGGAAAGTGGGAGGTGACAAGGTTGAGAGTTCACAATTCAGCCCACCCTTGGCAGGATGTTCGACGGGCTACAAAATTACAGTCCAACGATAGATCAACACAGAGGGGAGAAGGGGACAAAATAGAGAGAAGAGATCGGGGGTGGGTTGACGACCCATGGGCCTCCCAAAGAGCCCTTCCCAATCGCCTCTTCCCCCATGATATGAGCCAATTGATATGGATGCACCGTTGGCCATGGTGCAAATCAATCTGAGGAGTCACCGAAGACCATTATTCACAAAATACCAATCACGAAGCCAGAACGCAGCAATGCAAACTGCGACGGGGAGGGGGATCATGCCCGTTCCCCTACGCGGAATACAGCAAGTCAAACCTTTGAACCGGCCACTAAAACTGCAGCGACTGGGATTGCAGGTTAGGCTAAGGAAACCGTGTCACATTTTCCGCAAATCAGCAACAAGATCTTCCGATTTTGAAGAAACATGACCTGTAGGTTGGATATCCTGATTGGATGGCTGAATGTGAAGAATTGGTTGTTGATGCATATCAACCCTGACTTGATTGGTGCTTTCCATGCGTCCAAAGCTTTGTTCAAAGAAGCGCCCGCACTATCCCAAGGGATCGCTGGAAGTGAGCCAGCGTATGATCAGGGCAGAAGAGGGGCTTTAGCGCCCATGGCTTGGCTTCCCAGGACATAAATTTCCGACGAGAGAAAGATTGAGCCATGAATCGATTTTATTGAGATAATTTCGTGGGTGCTATCGCGGCTGTAAGTTAACTAGCAGCAGCAGGTCATTCAAGATCAGTAACTTGTTCCAAGCCTGTGAAGCACTATTTAATAGAGCCTGCCATGCTTTTGGTCGTGGTTACAAACCAGCTGCTCCATAGCGAGTCACTCCATGGCAGCGCGAGCTCTATGCTTGAATGAAGCCTTACAGAACAAGCTACCAAAACACGGAGATTGGAGGAGAATTGTGTGAGTAGAGCCGCGGGCTTGAAACGATAACCGCGTAAAGTTAAGACACGATCGCTGACATAAAATGTATCCAATGAAGTGGGCGGGACTGTCCAGAAATATCATAACAAGTTATCTCAATGCATTAATGCTATGACATTGTAAATATATCCCTTGATAGCGGGTCTAATTTCATCATAGCGTATCTTCAGCCTAGAGGTTCACGTATATCACAGGCTCTCATCCATTCACCACATTAAACCCTTCCCTGCGGTTGATTTCTCTTCCTTCAATTTATTGGTTCTCCAACTGTTCTAAAGTTCTAAATACCAGATCACCAGTCTCAGAGGAGTCATGGAAATCGTTTTCATGCGATATATCTATCCACCAATAAGCGAATATCTAATGCATGCCTCGGGCTCATTTCCTCTAATCATGCCGTCCGTGCTGGTCGTTAAGGGTACGTCTCGAATGTCTTCTTGTCGGTCGGGGTCCTAACTTATTCTCGATTGTGGAATGGGTATGTATCATAACTAAAATCAGAAATGCAAAAGTAATCTTGATTGAGTGATTATAAGAATAAAATATGCACTGGTAGTTATATGCAATATTTATATAGCATAGTCGAAGAACTCAAAAGTCATAAAATTTATCATGTGCGTTCAAATCCGCCAGAGATTCAATGCCGAGAGTGGAATATCATGTATCAGAAAAGAGAAAGAATGATTGCTTGGATTACCAATTAATTAGTCGTAGGGCACCCAATTAATTTCTCAACTATAAGCTCACTTTTGTTCATCAGGGGGATGAAGTGAAGAAGAAGAGAAAGACTGAACAGCGAATGTTGCATACTCAGCACAGAGGAGACTTGATTTGGGGTTGCTTGGCAGGTCCTCGTTTTGGCTATAGTTAACTAGTTAGCTGCTAAAAGTTGACTAAGCCAGATTCAGCTTCCATGAAGCCCTTGGAGCTTGAATGAGCTCTAAACACCTTGGAATTTTCACAAGTGTATCGTGGGAACAACAACGTTTATTAATTACCCCGTTGCGTGGCCGGGCAATCAATAGATGGAGATGCGCCAGTCCTCCGCACGAAAGAAAGGGAGGTCTTGCCAGCCAAAGCGAGTTCAGGTCCACGATGACGACGGCTGGACTCACATCACGACTACCCGACATACGACAGGTAACAAACCATGCCTACCCCCCGTCCGGGACGTATTAGCACCCGCTGAAGCCCCTGATGGCTTGTCTCTCAAGAGACTAAAAAAGCAGTTTGAATGGCACAAAAGGGTCTGGGAGGAGTCACAGAGCTGGAAGGCCTTGAGGGAAATCTTTGGTACCGCGCTTAGTACTGGCGCTTTGCGGACAATCGACAAATGTGTCTGTGTCGGTCTAGGGAGTCCCAGTGGTTTCCTGAGAGGGGGCTGGGTTGATCGCAGGGCTGTATCTCTATACCAGCTGGCTGCATTGGTCACTATTCTGGAATATTTTGGTGCGTTTTCAATCAGCGAGCCTAAACGTTGGATGGTCCGAGGGTTGATTGATGGGATCTACAATTTACAAGAGAGCTGATCGACAGAATATTCAATGACTCGTAGCCCGGGAAGATACACTGTCAAATGCCATCAAAGATTGTTACGCCCAGGATCCGGTTTTCAACATGTTGGATAAACAGCTTCTTGAAATCGTCGGTGTCCATGTCGTTGAGGACCCCAAGGGCTTTGCCCTGATCAACGAGAGAACTTTTCTTTATTCGCCCGGAGCAGAAAGGACCCACCTTTCGGTTATGCTCTCTTCGAACCCCGCCCTGTTTTTTGGAGGGCCATTGGACGGTGAAAACCTCGTTCGACTGTATGATATATATCTGGCTATTATTGTTCAATTTAATAAAACTAACTTATGGTGGACTTAGACCTGATACCAGAGAAAACGTCCTGTCAGGATTCCTTAATACGAGGCGGTCAATGCTACTTCCACCATTCGACTCAAATATAAACGCTTTTTGGATGACAAGTTTATTTTGGAGACCTGAAGAATCCTGACGCGATACTATCGTCGCATATACGTAGTGCTTCATATTGCTAGTGTTACAGGACACTATATTGATGAAGGCTGCGGGTGCTGGATAATTTGAATTGAGAAGGCTTGCGGACATAAAACTGCAACCCCCAAGGTTGCAAAATTATTCACAAATGATGGGCCAACCTTGATTAACACCGTTGAAATTCAGAGAAAACTCGAACCAGCGAACGGTGAACGCAGGGTACTTAGTTGATGTCCTTGCTTGATACCAGCGTTCC